CTCAGGCAGATGCTTATGTGCAATTCTCAGCTATATCATACATCAGCGGTTGCTTATGTCATGATGATAAAAATGCATTGTGCTAGCCCTCTTTTGCATAGTCTTACACTCCAGACAAACTTGTCGTTTTGTCTTTGTGTAAGTCATTGCAGTCAAAAGTGTTCAACAAGATATCATTGGCTATCAAGTGTATCTTATAGGTTTCTATAAAACTATTTTGGCATGTATTCACAATACTAATGATTTCTGCACCATTTTCATATACTGTACATGGATGAGGTTGGCTTCAACTTGGCCAAAGGAAGGAGATAATCTGACTGAACAGAGAGCTGCTGTTGACATGCCAGGCCAGCAGGGTGGGAACATCACTATGTGTGCGGCTATTTCGGACAATGGGGTCCACACTCGCATCCCTCTTGTGGGGCCATACAACACCTGAAGAGAAGTTTGGTCAAGAAAATTTACCAAAGTATGTCATCATTTGTGATAATGTGAGTTTCCATTACTCCAATCCAATCAGGCAATTATTTGCCAACCACCCCAGGATGCTGATGGAATTCCTACCACCATATTCCCCATATTCTGCATTTAGAGTTTCAGTATGTATGTATTGTTTCCCTTTTTGATTTTCATTTCATATGTTATGCATGAGGCATTGAAATGCATTTTTTGTGAGACTGCAGTTGCAGTGCCTGGTATGTCACCATATACCTGTGCAATCAATAAAATGTTCTTCTTGAATCAATCTCCCGCAATCAGTGTTTTTTACTTTTAAGTTTCCTGCCTTTGTCATTCAGATGTTTTGTGCATCAGAAAATGTTAAGATTGTGCCAATTTTATATTGATAACACGACTTTACATTTTGGCTGCCATGTCCGTGGATGATGATTCATGGACTTGGGATTTTGATGGCACTGACATGTTCATTGACATAAGTACTTGCTTTTGAGGCATGGACTAAGGATTTTGAAGAGGTTACCCGATTTTGCTGGTCATCCATGATGTTTTGCCATTTGCAGTAAATGTTCTGAGAAATGCACTCGCTGTTATGCAAATGTTAAATCCGTTATGAAAAATGCACCAAAGTAACTGAGAAAAACTGTAACAAAGTCTGAGGCCCCTGAGCTATTTGAGTCATCAGAGACTCTCTGCTATTTTCTACAGTGGTATAGTTGTTGATTGGAGTGGGTGGTGACAAATTACGCCCTTTATTGGTTCAAAATGGATCACAGCATTTTATTTTTGTGTATGGGATCATCCCATACAATACAGGACGGGTGACAACTCCAGGTTTAATATTTTACTAAACAGGTCACTTCTTAGCAGAGTCCCCAGGTCATCACAGGTGGGTAAGCCTGTTCATTAAAGCACCGCTGATCAAGCTGTACAAAAATAGCTCTTCACCATACCAAACACCCTCTTATCATTTTCATGCAGGTATGCCTAGCTGTACTTCATTTTATGCATGTCAGGGGTGGGCAGTGGTGGCTTAATGGTTAGGGAAACACACTTGTAATTGAAAGATTGCAGGTTTGAATCCCTGACCAGCAAGGTGCCACTGAGGTACCCTGAGCAAAGTACTGCTCCCTGGGTGCTGAATTAGCTGCTCCCTGCTATGTCACATACTGTATGGGTTAAATGCAGGGAACACTTTACGCTGTGGTGTGTTAACAATGACAACTGAATTCTAAAAAGAAGAGAGACAGGCGGATCAGGCGGATCAGGCGCCGGCAAGACAGAAGAGCCGGGCGGGACGGGCAGGACAGAAGAGCCGGGCTGGACGGGCAGGACAGAAGAGCCGGGCCGGACGGGCAGGACAGAAGAGCCGGGCCGGACGGGCAGGACAGAAGAGCCGGGCCGGACGGGCAGAGAGGCGGCCTCAGGCAGGGCTGCGGGCAGATAGGTGGCCTCAGGCAGGGCCGCGGGCGTGCGGCCAGCAGGGGGCGCCTCGGCGGGCACCTTGGGCGTGCGGCCAGCAGGGGGCGCCGCAGCAGGCACGGCCATCACGTGGCCAGCAGGGGGCGCCTCGGCAGGCACCTTCGATAGAGCGGCGACGGCAGCTGCAGCAGGCGGAGCCGCGGGCATCGCGGCGGTAGCAGCAGCAGGTGGTGCCAGGAGCAGAGCAGCATCAGGGACCGCAGGCTGGACAGGCGTTGCCGCTAGCAGTGCGGCGGCAGTAGCAGCCGGTGCTGCTGGCAAGTCCGGAGCAGGCAGGTCCGAAATAGGCGCCAGGATCGGCGCCGGGCGTGCAGGCGCTGCCCCTTTAAGGGCCTTGGGGATCCGGGGAATTGCATCCCAGATGGCCCTGGCCCCTTTAAGGGGCAGCCCCGGAAGGGGGAAGTTGCCTCTGTGTCGGTGCCTTCCGGGG